GGGAGCCCCGGCCCCCCCATCCCTGTGCACCCACACAGGAGCCCGTCCCCTGCCCCTGGCTCTGAGCTCTCCGGGCGCGGAGCCCTGCAGCGATTCCCCTTTTTCTCTTTCCCTGGTCCCCAGCAGCTCCTGTTACATTCCCAGGTTGGAGCCAGCCATAGGGAGCTGGGGCCCCTCAGCCATGGCTGTGAGCAGGATTTTGCCCCTTCTCCCGGCACTGACCCAAACTTACCCCAGCCCGGGTTATCTTCATTATTGCAGTAATTCACCCCTTCGGGCAAGGGAAACATGTAGTGGCCACATCCACAGCTCTCACCCATGTGGGTTTGGAAGCAGGAGCGCAGGCAAGCCTGGAAAAAGGGGAGAGGGGGCTGCGGAGACGTGGGGTGGCTCCCCTGCCCCCCCGCCCGCCTCGGGGCTGCTGGGGTCTGCGCTACGGGCATCGTTCGCCTCAGGGGTATTTTCTCTCTTTTGCAATGAACTGAGCTGATTTCACAGCTGCACGACCCCATCCTCTGGTGCACACCATCGCCAGGCAGCGCGGCAGCCCGGGGAGCCCGGCACGGGTCACGCCGGCTCTGCAGCAGCGAGATGTGGTGGGCAGATGAGCTGCCACACAGAGCATCCCTGCAGTGAGGGTTTGCTCCGGAGAGCAGCCCTGCAGTGAGGGTTTGCTCCGGAGAGCAGCCCTGCAGTGAGGGTTTGCTGCGGAGAGCAGCCCTGCAGTGAGGGTTTGCTGCAGAGAACATCCCTGCAGTGAGGGTTTGCTGCGTGATGCATTTTTCCTGCTGCTCCTCCAGATGTTAAGGTCCATCCCAGCTGTGAGCTGATCCCCTCGCAGGAGCAGGAGGGAGCTTGATGCCCGCTCCAGCTGCACAGGAACCTGCCCAGTGCTTCAGAGGGCTCCATGGAAGTAATACAGAGCTTCCAAAAAGGAATAAAAATGTTCTGCTGCACCTATGGCACCGCTGGTGTCTCCAGGCTTCCACTTGAAAGCTGGGACTCTAAAAGTACCTCAGCATAAAGCAGGTTTCAGAGATCTGAGTTATCTTATCTGTGCATCTGCTGCTCTCCTTGGAAGGATCGGGCAGCGTGAGCCGTCTGCGGTGCTGCCATCAGCTCAGCCAGGCGTGAAGGTGATCGGCCGAGACCCGAGCGGGATGAAACAGCGCAAAGCAATAGCAAAGTCTATGAAAAGAGAATTAAATCTAACAGCGCCGGCTGGGAGAACAGCAGAGAATTTCTGATACACAATGCTGGCAGAGCCAGCCGCCATCGGAGCGATGGGAACGCCGGATCCTGCTGAGAGGTCTCTGGAGTGATGGGAACGAACTGTGTGGACACAGAGCACCAGCCTGCATCTAGCAGCTTTTAAGTAATAATGCAATCATTTCGAGTATTTGCTTAAATATGCATCTTAAAAAGGAGGTAAATGGTCCAGTTATTACAATGATATAAAGGTGGAAATATAAAACCTGCTGGACCCCAGCCCTCCCCTCGCCGGGGCGCATCCCCAGGTGGCTTGGGTGCTTTCCTCGTTGCCAGATCTCTTGCTCCAGAAGGGCTTCTCCCTGCTGTTACGGCCGGTTACGGATTAACCCATGCTCCACGCGTACACTGTATTTTTCCGCAGATTCAAGGTTTACCAACACTCAACTTTCTCATCCCAATTTTAAAGTGAAGAAAAGGCGAAGGTCTCTCTTCCTGTCCTACCCAAACCAGCAGCCCTTGCCGGGGTGAAAGATGCCTTGATGCCCTTCAGAAGGACTGAAGAGAGCAGGCGTGCTCAGGGGAGGAATCCCTCCTCCGTTCCTCTGCCGTACCACTGCCGATCCCCCAGTAACCCTGTGGGCTAGCCAAAGGTTTTAACTGCTTTGGTGGTGTTTCCTGAACAGCCGTGTTTGACTGCAAACCCAGCTTTACCTGGATGGAATAGGAGGTGTTATACTGGCTGTAGAGGTTCTTTACGGGGACGTCAGAGCCGTTCACGGTGCAGTCGCTGTAGGGATAGCCCATCCGCTCCAGCTCATCCTGAAAAAACCAAGACAGCCAACGTCAGCAGCCGTCGCTCCTCCCCACGTCCCTGGTGCCCATTTTCTAGAGGCTCCATCATTCCCATATTCCCTGCTGGCTTCGAACACTGTCACAGCATCGTGGGGCAGCGCTGGAGGAGAGGCTGCCCTGGGGAGGGTGTGCGAGAGCAGCGTGTTCCATCAGGGAACTGTCTGCCAGGCTGAAGGAAGAAGGAATAATGACCCCAGCACAATATTTTGGCTTCGATAAAGTGCTTTGCCAGGACAGTTACATAAAAGCCTCCATAAACCGTTCCGCCCGCGGCCAGTGCACACCGCGACTCCTTTGGTTTGAGCCAGTTCAGCCGAGACTCAGCACAAACTGGGTTGCGGTCCCATCAGATAACGTTATTCTCAGACAATCCGCTCCCGAGGAATGCCAGACATACCACCAGCACGCCGATGGAGGTTTCCGTGCCGGCCATGGCATAGATGCCCTGGTCCTTGAGGAAGGGGAAACTCTTCTGCTGGTGCAGCATGAGCCGGGCGCCGGCCGCCGAGGACAGGAAGGGGATGTAGTCCTGCTGGCTGATGTCCAGAATCAGCTTCAGCCCTGGGACACCAGACAAACTGCTCAGAGCAGGGGTTGTACCGAAATGCCAGCCTTTGGGGAAAAACGGAGTCCCTCTCCTTGCATGCACAGAACCCCTGATCCCTGGGCAGCAGCATGCACGGCGGGGAATGCGCAGATGGGAACAGCTGGGAATGCTCGGACATTGCCTCGGACATGTCAGCCATCCAGATGTGCTGGGTACGTGTCACATCTGTATGCACATTGCTTGTTTCTGTGCAACACATTTCCCTCTTGGGGCTTAACCCCCCTGGAAAACCTGCTCCTGCTGCCCTGCTCCAGAGACACAGAACCCGTAACCAGGTTCTGCCAGGATGGCCACAGCGAGACCGAGCATCGCCCGGCACTTCTGCTCCTCCAGCTCCTCCTGCCCCAGCAGAGCTCTTACCAAACTCGGCTCCGGGGTTGGAAGAATTCAGTGCCTCTTCGTCCATGCCCCAGTTGAAGATGTAGCAGTTGCCATGGTCGGGGTGATAGATCTGGGTGAAGTTCCTGAAAGATTCACGTACATAAAACCCTGACTCCTGGGGGGACTGAGGGGTTATAAAATAACGCATCTGCTGGCACTGGTGCTTGGCAGCGACGTCTGGGATTTGCTTTAAATTCCTTCGTTTGTCGAATGCCTGTATAGAAATTGCATCTGAGATAATTTCAATCAATCTGCTGTTGAACAAAAAGCCAAGTGAGGCTCCGGTGTGTGCCAAGACCCAGGCACTGGGGATAACGCTTTGTCAGAATGGAAGGGAATCGGAATCGTCTGTCGCACAGAGGAGACAGAAATAACTGCTTGATGGGAGCTGTGCTAACAGGTTGTGATTGGTGTCATATCTCACTCTCTGATGATAATTCTCTCTTGCTCCCTTTGCAGAAGGAGCAGGACTCCCTGAGCCTGGGCTGCAGCTGCATGTGTGTGTTGAGGAACTGGATGTACACATTTGGCGTTCGTAAGAAACAACGATGGCTAACACTGCATTTCCCAGAGCCTTGTGTAGAAGGGGGGCTGTAACTGGGGGCTGCCCTGCTGACCACGGTCCACTGCCTCGGCGCCGGGGCTGGCAGTGGGTTACCCACTGACACCCCGGGAAGGTCCCGTGGCTGCTCTTGGTCTCGATACGTCAGGAGCAAAACACCCATCCGCAACTAAAACTCAACAATCAGTCTACAATCAAACTAAACTGGCCCAAAACAACCCGTGTGAGCCACGATCACATCCAGAAACCCCTGGGAAATGCTGTTAGA